TAGACATTCTTCCTGTTGCTACGATTACACAAATCTTAAGCCGGGCGTACACTGTGCGATTTTTTTCACTTTTTTGAGCCGATTTTCCACTCGTGTGAGAATCCACAAGATCGGGGCGAGTTTTGCGCCGAGCGTCGTGTAGTGTACAGGGGGTCACGAGAGGCGATTAACACCACGTGACCAGCTACCGATCAGCAATCGTGAGCTCGCACGGACTTCTGGAGTGCTTGATATTTTGCTCGTTCCTTGTGAGGGTTGAAGAGGCGTGGCGAGCGGCTGCAACTCAAAGTACCAGAACCGCTCACGGCGCATGCGCAATCATGCGTCAACACTGCTCACCCGCTATTTCCCTAATAACGCACGTTGTTCGTTTTTTATTTCCAAATGTTTTTTTTTTTTTTACACACAGTGACAAGGATTGTCAGGAAAGCATGTTTGTCGTGTTCATGTCAAATTAAACTGATCACAAAACACAGATTTACTTTCTTTATTTTGTTTTCCTCATCCAACCCCCATAAATCCCTGTGTGTCCTCCTGCAGCACTCTTGAGGCGAAAAAAGACAAAAAAGTCTGACGTGTTGTGTAAAAACTTCTATTTTTAGCATATTGTTTAGGTCCACGTGCTGCTACCAGACGTACAGTGTGAGCAGTCAGTTCGTATCCGAGAACTGGGTCGTACAGTGTTAGCCCATGACTCGTGAGATCTGCCCTGAGAGGAAGTCGTACAGTTTGAGCTGAAGCTGAGTGCTACGAGTGAAAAAGTCGCACAGTGTACGCCCGGCTTTATTCAGAGACTTAAACATTTTTCATGCAGCGTTTATCCCTGGTCTCCATAATACCAGCAGTTGGGACTCTTCCTGTTTGCAGTGGGAAGGAGCTACATTTCTGATCAAAGGCTGAAGTGTTTGCACTAAACTACATATGTTTAACTGACTATTTATTTATTTAAGATGGCATATTTCATATAATTTAGTTGTCTTACTTGGATCGGATTTGTTGTACTTTTGTAGGGCTGCAGCTATCGAATATTTTTGTAATTGAGTACTCTATTGAATCTTTTATCGGTTAATCGAGTACTCTAATAAATTACTCTTTTGCGTTTTTAAACCATTATATCAAATAGCATGTTATAAAATATGAAAGACCTCTTGAAATGAGAAAGCAATTGCCAGTTATTCTTCAAGTTTTTTTCAAAATTAGTTTTCAAAACTTCAGCACTTCAACTTTACTTCACAGTAAACAAATGCGAGCGGCTGCGGCCCAAACAGAACCAGAACCGCTCACGGCGCATGCGCAAACATGGCTCGCCGGCTGTTTCCCTATTAACACACGTTCGTTTTAATTTCTACACTTTTTTTTGTCTCACACTAACAAGGATTGTAGAAAGCGTGTTTGCCGTGGTTATGTCAAATTACACTGATCACACAACATTTATTTACTTTCTTTCATTTTCCTCCGCCACTCATAAATACCCGTGTCCTCCTGCAGCAATCCTGAGGGACAACAGACATCAATACACAGTAAAAAGTCCGACGTGTTGTAAAAACTGCTATTTTTAGCACATTTTAATTCCAACGTGTTGCTACCAGACGTACGGTGTGAGCTGAAACTGACTGCTACAAATGAAAAAGTCGCACAGTGTCTGCAGAATATATAGAAATACAGGCTAAAATGCATTATCTTGTAGAGGCTCCGAGTCCGCTTGCAGAAGTGACATTTACATGTGGATGTTTCCTGGTCAGTCAGGTGCTGCAGCTTGGAGGATGTGGTGTTGTGGTCGGCTAAATCCGTTTAACAGTATTTACACTGGAGTACGTTTTCCGCCTTACGACGTGAAAAATGGTCCCACATCTTTGACATTTTGTGTCTTTTTCGCACTCCACTGGGGTCCACATTGTCCGCCATGGCTTAAAAGAAAGTTAAGTTGCGTTCGCTACTCGCGTGTGCATTCAGTGCAGTGTGTATGTGCGTCACTTATTTTGGTCCAGGTGAAACATGACCACGGGCGATTGCAAAGCCATGAATTAATTAAACATGAATTAAACGAAGCTTCGAGGCAGAGAATTTGACTCGAGGATTTTTTGTACTCGAATTATTCGAGGTACTCGAGGAATCGTTTCAGCCCTATACTTTTGTCTGCACTGTGAACGTAGCCTTAGTCACAGTTTAAGACAGAAAAGCGCTCCAGTTGAAGGTTGTGCTGTTTGTTTCCTACGTCTCACAACAGATTTTACTATACAGTCATTTAGTAAAGTTTCTTGTTCTTGCTTCAGATGCACAGATGTTGAACACGGGCGTTAATGGTGCTCTAAAGTTCACTTTCATTTCTCCCAGCCTTTCTCCTGGGCTCTGGTGACCAGTAAAAACCTTCCTCCTACTGGCACAGTCCCCTCTTCTGGAATCTCCCCACATGTTGTTAAAGCTCCGAGCTCACAGGTAAGTCAGACTTTACCATGGAAATATCAACATTCAATATGTATTTGAGGAAATTCTGTGTCTAAAGATGCACCAGAGTAAAAACCTGAAAGCAGCGCTCTAGTTAAACGTTTGTGAAGAGAGGCCCATTATCGGTGTGCTGGTTATTTCTGGGCCTTAGCCTATGTGTACATGGTACCATGTGGGGCTTAATTTTTCTTGTGTGATGTGCTTTATGCAGCCCAGAGTTGAAACAACAAAGCAAGAGACGCAGGCAGCACCGCTTCGCCCCAGAGATCAGCGAACCCGCGATAGACCAACCTTCACCCAGCGAGGTCCCCGACCCAGTAATACTTAAGCTTCTCAATTTCAGCCTTAATCCACTTTCCCCTTTGGACTCTCTTTCCTTTACTGTCTGCACATTTCTGTCACTAATAGATGGTGTTGGATCTTCAGAGACACAAACAGGGAAGCCACACTTAAGTTTTGTTAACAAAGGTATCACTTGTCTTCACGCTTTATTATTAGATTAGAATATTAATCCGTTGTTTATGTGGTGCAGATGTTGCTAATCTGGTGTGTGTTTGTGTTCAGGTGGCAGAGGAGACTCTGAATCCGGGGACATGGACAGCAGGAGGATTGTGCGGTACCCGGACAGCCACCAGCTGTTTGTTGGCAACCTTCCACATGACATCGATGAGAACGAGCTCAAGGAGTTTTTCATGAGTATGTTTGTTTCTCTCAGAAATCAACACTTTGGTATCTTCAGCTTTCTGCAGTCATCATCCAGTAAATGTTGTTTCTGTTTGTTGCAGCTTATGGGAACGTGGTTGAGCTGCGAATCAACACCAAAGGAGTCGGTGGGAAGTTGCCCAACTTTGGGTTTGTGGTCTTCGATGACCCCGATCCCGTGCAAAGAATCCTGGGGGCCAAGGTAGAAGGGGCATGTATCAACAATTCATTACCCATTTTCATTTGTGTGGTGGTTTGGGGACTCATCTTTTATTTGATTTACCACTTTTTAGTCCATTGTTCTGGAATTTCCTTTTTCATGCTGTCACAAAGAATTTTTCCATATCGTTTCATTATTTAAAGTATTTTGTTTTGCACGTTTATCCAGTCAACGCTTGCTTTCACCTCCTGCTCTGTATCACTTCTCTCAAGCCCGGATCACACTGAGCGATTTATTATTTTTTTGGCTGTCACACGGGAATTTTCAAGTCACACTTGAGAATTCCAGAAAGTGTCACACTGTACGGCGTAAGATTTCAGTGAGGCAGACTGCATGGCGTCTCTCCAGCAGGACACACTACTTCATGAGCACACCTCATGTAAGCATACGAAGCAGACCGCTAACAAAAACAAAGCTGAAAAGATTAAAACACTTATTTTTAGTGTCAGTTCATGACCCAACTCATCTTCCTCAAAGAGGAAGCTCGTCTCGTCTCGTCTTCCTCCGCTTATCCGGGTCCGGGTCGCGGGGGCAGCATCCCAACTAGGGAGCTCCAGGCCGTCCTCTCCCCGGCCTTGTCCACCAGCTCCTCCGGCAGGACCCCAAGGCGTTCCCGGACCAGATTGGAGATGTAACCTCTCCAACGTGTCCTGGGTCGACCCGGGGGCCTTCTGCCGGCAGGACATGCCCGAAACACCTCCCCGGGGAGGCGTCCAGGAGGCATCCTGACCAGATGCCCAAACCACCTCAACTGGCTCCTTTCGATCCGGAGGAGCAGCGGTTCTACTCCGAGTCCCTCCCGAATGTCCGAGCTCCTCACCCTATCTCTAAGGCTGAGCCCGGCCACCCTACGGAGGAAACTCATTTCGGCCGCTTGTATCCGCGATCTCGTTCTTTCGGTCATTACCCAAAGCTCATGACCATAGGTGAGGATTGGGACGTAGATCGACCGGTAAATCGAGAGCCTGGCTTTCTGGCTCAGCTCCCTCTTCCCCACGACAGATCGGCTCAGCGTCCGCATCACTGCAGATGCCGAACCAATCCGCCTGTCGATCTCCCGATCCCTCCTACCCTCACTCGTGAACAAGACCCCGAGATACTTAAACTCCTCCACTTGAGGTAGGACCTCTCCCCCGACCCGGAGGTGGCAAGCCACCCTTTTCCGGTCGAGAACCATGGTCTCAGATTTGGAGGTGCTGATCCTCATCCCAGCCGCTTCACATTCGGCCGCGAACCTACCCAGCAAGAGCTGAAGGTCAGAGCTGGATGAAGCTAGGAGGACCACATCATCCGCAAAAAGCAGAGACGAGATTCTCCTGCCACCAAACTCGACACACTCCACACCACGGCTGCGTCTAGAAATTCTGTCCATAAAAGTGATGAACAGAACCGGTGACAAAGGGCAGCCCTGGCGGAGTCCAACCCTCACTGGGAACAGGTCCGACTTACTACCGGCTATGCGGACCAAACTCACGCTCCTCTGGTAAAGGGACTGAATGGCCCTTAACAGAAAGCCACCCACCCCATACTCCTGGAGCGTCCCCCACAGGGTGCCCCTGGGGACACGGTCATAAGCCTTCTCCAAATCCACAAAGCACATGTGGATTGGTTGGGCAAACTCCCATGCCCCCTCCATCACCCTTGCAAGGGTATAGAGCTGGTCCACAGTTCCACGGCCAGGACGAAAACCACATTGCTCCTCCTCTATCTGAGATTCAACTATCGATCGGACCCTCCTCTCCAGTACCTTGGAGTAGACCTTTCCAGGGAGGCTGAGGAGTGTGATCCCCCTATAGTTGGAACACACCCTCAGGTCACCCTTCTTAAAGATGGGGACCACCACCCCGGTCTGCCACTCCCTAGGAACTGCCCCCGATGACCACGCAATGTTGTAGAGACGTGTCAACCATGACAGCCCTACAACATCCATAGCCTTGAGATACCCAGGACGAACCTCATCCGCCCCCGGGGCTCCGCCGCTGTGTAGTTGTTTGACTACCTCAGCAACTTCTGCCCCCGAGATCGGACAGTCCATCCCCAGGCCTCCCAGCTCTGGTTCCTCCTCGGAATGCGCATTGGTGGGATTGAGGAGCTCCTCAAAGTATTCCTTCCACCGTCCGACTATAGCCTCAGTTGACGTCAGCAGCTCCCCATCCTCACTGTAAACAGTGTGAGCGAGTTGCTGCCTTCCTCTCCTGAGGCGCCGGACAGTTTGCCAGAACCTCTTTGGAGCCGATCGATAGTCTTTCTCCATGGCCTCACCAAACTCCTCCCACGCCCGAGATTTTGCCTCGGCAACTGCCACTGCTGCACCCCGCTTGGCTATCCGGTACCTGTCTGCTGCCTCCGGAGACCCACAGACCAGCCACGCCCTGTAGGCCTCCTTCTTCAGCCTGACGGCTCCCCGAACCTCTGGTGTCCACCAGCGGGTACGGGGGTTGCCACCACGACTGGCACCGGCCACCTTACGACCACAGCTAGCAACAGCCGCCTCGACAATCGCAGAGTGGAACAAGGCCCACTCGGACTCAATGTCCCCCACTGCTCTCGGGACGTGGTCAAAGCTCTGCCGGAGGTGGGAGTTGAAGACCGTCTTGACAGGTTCTTCTGCCAGGCGTTCCCAGCAGACCCTCACTATGCGTTTGGGTCTGCCAGGTCTACGCGGCATGTTCCCTTGCCATCTGATCCAACTCACCACCAGGTGGTGATCAGTTGACAGCTCCGCCCCTCTCTTCACTCGGGTGTCCAAAACATACGGCCGCAGGTCAGATGATACGACTACAAAATCTATCATCGACCTGTGACCTAGGCTGCCCTGGTACCAAGTGTACCGGTGGGCATCCTTATGTTCGAACATGGTGTTCGTTATGGCCAAACTGCGGCTTGCACAGAAGTCCAATAACAAAACACCGCTCGAGTTCTGATCAGGTGGGCCGTTCCTCCCAATCACACCCCTCCAGGTCAAGCTGTCATTGCCCACGTGAGCATTGAAGTCCCCCAGCAGGACAATGGAGTCCCCTGATGGAGCACTATCTAGCACTCGTCCCAGGGACTCCAAAAAGGGTGGGTACTCTGAACTGATATTTGGCCCATAAGCACAAACAACAGTCAGGACCCGTTCCCCGACCCGAAGGCGCAAGGAAGCTACCCTCTTGTCCCCCGGGGTAAACCCCAACACACAGGCAGAGAGTCTCGGGGCTAACAAAAAGCCAACCCCAGCCCTCCGCCTCTCACCCGGAGCAACTCCAGCAAAGTAGAGTGTCCAACCCCTCTCCAGGTCTCGGGTTCCAGAGCCAATGCAATGTGTCGAGGTGAGTCCGACTATATCTAGCCGGTACCGCTCAACCTCTGCCACAAGCTCCGGCTCCTTCCCCGCCAGCGAGGTGACGTTCCATGTCCCAAAAACTAGTTTTCTTGTCCGGGGATTGGACCGCCAAGGCTCCCGCCTTGGTCTGCCACCCGATTCACATTGCACCGGACCCTTCATGTTCCTCCTGCGGGTGGTGGGTCCACAGTTGGACGAGCCCATGTATCCGGTTCGGGCTGGGCCCGGCCGGGCCCCATGGGCGAAAGCCCAGCCACCAGGCGCTCGCTCACGGGCCCCAACCCCAGGCCTGGCTCCAGGGTGGGACCCCGGTAACCCTCCGGGCCGGGTACTCCGACTCTTCGTTTTAACCGCCATGAAAGATCGTTCGAACCGTTCTTTGTCTCACCCTTCACCTAAGACCAATTTGTCATGGGAGACCCTACCAGGGGCACTAAGTGCCCCAGACAACATAGCTCCTAGGATCATTAGGGCACTCAAACTCCTCCACCACGATAAGGTGACGGTTCAAGGAGGAAGCTTTGTTTTTAAAACCCTTGCTTTGGCGTCAGACTCCGGCTGCAGGTCTCCTTTTTCCCGTCTCCCAGCTAAACAGCTGATCGGTCTGCTGGACATTCATCCTGCTCATCCTCCCACTAAACTGCAGAGAAGTAACAATCTGCCACAGATCTCTGCAATATCCAAACTTTTGCCGTGATTTCTGTCTCACTGCTCTGCAGCGCCGCTCCGTGTGCAAGCTCACACTCACGCTCAGAGCTTCCTCTGTCCCTCAGCTGCAAAACGCTACTTAACCATCCTTATCAGTTGAATATGTGAGATTTCCACCAACAGCAAATGGATCTCATGTTTTTATGCTTTATTTTATATGTTCGTGAGCTCATCTCCTCTCACACTCTCACAGATCAAAGAATCATAGTTTTCAGAATTTATTTGATGGTCTAAAAAAGGTTGTTTAATTATTTTTAGTCTAACTCCAGTTTAACTTGGGCTGTTAACAAAAATCAAAACTGGTGTGTGGTTTATAATCCGCATAAATTGAAACCGAAGCTCAGAGAGGCAGAGTCTTGCTGCTGCAGCGTCCCAAATGTGTGTGTTCATTGGTCGGTTGCAGACGGGAGTGATAGGTTTTCAAGCATGCTTGTAGATTGTTAGAGGCTGTCTTTGGTTGTGAGACAGCAGAAGAAGCTGTCGCAGAGCTGGTCAGACTGAATGAACACAGATGTTCAAATCACCCTCACGTTCACAGATTTTTTTATTTTATTTTTTTCTCTCGATTATGCTCGCGTGGTCTGGACTTTATAGGAGAACAAAATATTTGTTTTGCTTAAGGCTACACAAAACTGCGCACATTTATTGCCATTGTGATATCTTCATAGCCCTGTTGCAAAGAACAGAAGAAATGGAAATAAATGGTCAGCTCAGATGTTTGCTACACATAACAGTGACACAGAGGCATGACGTTTTTGACCAATCAAGTAAAGCCCTTCACGCATTTGGCCAACCGAGTGGGATAGATGTCCACCCCATAGGCAGACAGCACGGCAAACAAACACCTGAGTTAGCTTAGAGAATCATGGCTGAGGGCAGGAAGTGTGTGTAAAATGTTAGCGAGAAAGAACTTGTGTTTAAAACAACAGCGTGTCTCTTATTTGGAGATACATTTGTTACAATAGAGATGACGTTCATCAAACACAGGTACGTTGCAAAAGTGGTAACCACAAGGGGAAACGCAATCATAGAGCTGTACAGTGGTGTGAAAAACTATTTGCCCCCTTCCTGATTTCTTATTGTTTTGCATGTTTGTCACACAAAATGTTTCTGATCATCAAACACATTTAACCATTAGTCAAAGATAACACAAGTAAACACAAAATGCAGTTTTGAAAATGATGGTTTTTATTATTTAGGGAGAGAACAACATCCAAACCTGTGTGAAAAAGTAATTGCCCCCCTTGTTAAAAAATAACCCAACTGTGGTGTTTCTCACCTGAGTTCAATTTCTGTAGCCACCCCCAAGCCTGATACTGCCACACCTGTTTCAATCAAGAAATCACTTAAATATGAGCTGCCTGACACAGAGAAGTAGACCAAAAGCACCTCAAAAGCTAGACATCATGCCAAGATCCAAAGAAATTCAAGAACAAATGAGAACAAAAGTAACTGAGATCTATCAGTCTGGTAAAGGTTATAAAGCCGTTTCTAAAGCTTTGGGACTCAAGCGAACCATAGTGAGAGCCATTATCCACAAATGGCAACAACATGGAACAGTGGTGAACCTTCCCAGGAGTGGGCGCCCGACCAAAATTACCCCAAGAGCGCAGAGACAACTCATCTGAGAGGTCACACAAGACCCCAGGACAACTTCTAAAGAACTGCAGGCCTCACTTGCCTCCATTAAGGTCAGTGTTCACGACTCCACCATCAGAAAGAGACTGGGCAAAAATGGCAGATTTCCAAGACACAAACCACAGTTAAGCAACAAGAACATTAGGGCTCATCTCAGTTTTGCTAAGAAACATCTCAATGATTGCCAAGACTTTTGGGAAAACACCTTGTGGACTGATGAGACAAAAGTTGAACTTTTTGGAAGGCAAATGTCCCGTTACGTCTGGCGTAGAAGTAACACAGCATTTCAGACAAAGAACATCATACCAACAGTAAAATATGGTGGTGGTAGTGTGATGGTCTGGGGTTGTTTTGCTGCTTCAGGAACTGGAAGGCTTGCTGTGATAAATGGAACCATGAATTCTACTGTCTACCAAAAATAACCTGAAGGAGAATGTCCGGCCATCTGTTGGTCAACTAAAGCTGAAGAGATCTTGGTTGCTGCAGCAGGACAATGACCCAAAACACACCAGCAAATCCACCTCTGAATGGCTGAAGAACAACAAAATGAAGACTTTGGAGTGGCCTAGTCAAAGTCCTGACCTGAATCCTATTGAGATGCTATGGCATGACCTTAAAAAGGTGGTTCATGCTGGAAAACCCTCAAATAAAGCTGAATTACAACAATTCTGCAAAGATGAGTGGGCCAAAATTCCTCCAGAGCGCTGTAAAAGACTCGTAGCAAGTTATCGCAAACGCTTGATTGCAGTTATTGCTGCTAAGGGAGGCCCAACCACTTATTAGGTTCAGGGGGCAATTACTTTTTCACACAGGGCAATGTATTTTGTTCTCTCCCTAAATAATAAAAACCATCATCTCAAAACTGCATTTTGTGTTTACTTGTGTTATCTTTGACTAATGGTTAAATGTGTTTGATGATCAGAAACATTTTGTGTGACAAACATGCAAAAGAATAAGAAATCAGGAAGGGGGCAAATAGTTTATCACACCACTGTATACCTCCAGAAAGCAAGCGTTGGCAAACCCAAAGTAAACGATTACATTAGTAGTTGACCACTGCTTTGAGGCAGAAGGTACACCTGCACTGGTTTTATCACCATGACATGTTGCTTTTTCAAACCTCCTGTCCTGCAGTCCTCAAATCTTTTTTTTTTTACATTTTATTGTTTTCCTGTGCATGTCTTTTCAACTCTTTGTCCTGTTCCGGTAAATTATTGGTGGAAAAATCAGTAACGCAAAGTAGCTCCTGTGCTCAGATCAGTGAACAGACAAGGAACCTTTGTAGTGACGGTCTTCTTCTTTTTGCAGCCCATCATGTTTCGAGGTGAGGTTCGTCTCAATGTGGAGGAGAAGAAGACGAGAGCTGTGCGTGAGCGAGAGACCCGTGGAGGAGATGACCGTCGGGACTTAAGGCGCAACGACCGGGGTCCTGGGGGTTCACGAGGTGTCATGGGAAGTGGAATGATGCGTGAACGCGACGGGAGGGGGCCGCCACCTCGAGGCAGCATGGCGCCCAAACCCGGCATGGGCTCTGGACGAGGCTCCAGCGGTCAGGGAGAAGGCCGCTTCCCAACCCAGCGCCGCTGAGAAGACCGCTTTAGCGTGGAAGTAGTATTGTGTTCTTCATCTTGAACCGTTCTCGTTAATGAAAAGAAATCGTCTTGTAAAAAGTAAATATTTGGTGTTTCCTTTTTTTCTTTTCCTTTTTGCTTTGGAATGTGACACAGCCTGTCAAACAATTTGTTTGTGAAATAGACAAAACCAAATAAGCAAACAAAACATGTCGCTTATTAGTCGTGAGCATCCTTTTTGGGTATCTCAAGAATTAAAACTTGAATTTGTCAATTTGTGAATAAAGACAAACCAACCAGGACTATTCTGCCACATTAGGAGGGACTGAGAAGACTTTAAACTTCAACAGTGCAGCCCGGCGTTTTGAGAAGAGATTATAAACCTTGACATAACCGTCATGTTGATTCATGAGTCCTCTGTTGCACAATTTATATCGTAGTTTTCTGCCCGTTACTGTTGAAGAAGAGTGCAGTTTGAGGAAAGGCCTGGGCTTTTTCTTTTCTCCCTTTTGAAAGACCACTGCTTCAAAATTGCATAATGCACTCACCAATATGCACTAATGGGTACTTTGTTACGTTACGTTGTCATCCATGCTCTGAGCACAGCTGGAGAGACCTGTTTTGTTCTAATGCGATACGACTTGCTGAGACCGGTCTCAGTCACGGCCTGGCTGCTGTGACCAATGTACTTTTCACACGTCTGACCCAAATCAATGCTTCGGTCACTGCTGGAAGGACAAAGCTACGTTGTACCTTTCTTCATTTGTAAGCCCAAAAGTTCAGTTCCTGGACTTGACTTTGACCACATGAGATGGATCATTAACAGTAGACAATTAAATAATATGGCTCTGATTGTCTTTTTGATTCCAGGTTTGTTTGTTTTGGGGGGGGGGTTTTCTGCCAGCTTGACTGCAACACTGGGACGAGAGAAACCTTCTCCCTCCCTCCCTGCTTTTGAACGTGGAGTAGCCAAATAAATGTACAGCAAAAATCATAGTTTGTTTTTCTCTGTATAATGTTATTCTCCTGGCTTGATTAAAAAAGCATGATGGTGCCTTCTACTTCACCTTTTCAAGTCTTACTGAAGTGCAAAGCGGTTTGTGGCTCCTGGCTTGCAGAGCTGCTCATTTTGAACTATACATTCTGCTGGGAGCAGATTGAAACAACACAGTATTCATAAGATTTGTGTAATTCAGGTGCATAATTAATTTTTTAAACATTGTTTTACAACCTGAGATGGTCTGCTGTGAGCTTTGTACAATTTTTGTTGCTGTAATCTTCTGGGTTTTGTAGAAACAAATGGGTGCCTCAAGTTCTGGTTTATGGTTCAAATAACTTCCCCGCTTTCTCCCCAAAACATACCAATGGTACATAAAGAGAAATGTTTGGTTTAACACATCATGGCCCTGCATCACCACGGTTTCATTAAACGTTTGTAAGGTGATCCAGACACTGTTGAACCTCCTTGTGTGCTTTTTGTTCTGCGGATGAATCCCTGGACTTGTTTTATTTTTCCTACCAACACTTTTGTATTGACCTGTGTGGTTGGGCTGCAGCTCTCATGTTGAGGACAATTGTGCACACTTTTCTATTGTGAATGCGTTTGTATTTTCATATTGCTGATTATTCAATGTGCTTATTTTATTTTTTACCATTCAAGACAAGTTTAACGCGGTTGCCATGGTAGTTGGCTCCTTTCTTGTTTACCTTTTTGTATGCTTGGTAGGGAGGGAAGACTGGTTTCAGCTGGAAAGGAAAACATGAAAGTTTTTTGTTGTGATTGTTTTATCTTGCACTGAAATGAGAAGTAAAATGAAGATGTAGCATTTTTCTTGACAAACATACCAAGGTCTTCCTTGTCTGGTGGTATTGCACTATTTCCAAATTTCCTGCGACAATCTGTCACTGAATAATCGCTTTCAAAAAAATTTTTTTTCCCTCTAATCTGGTGAAGAAAAATGGTGTGTCATTAAATTTTTTTGATTTCGAGTAACAGCAAAATGAGATATCCAGACGTAGCATAAAAAGGCTGATTTCTCAGCTGCTCTCCCTTGTTTGAGATCAGATGTTTTCTGTTTTAAAACAGCTATAATCTACCATCAGCTGGTGACGTAATGATTTATTACACAAATATTCACAAGGGTTCTTCCACATCATTATTTTTCTGATGATTTTCCTGATCTGGACACTTAATTGAAATCATCCTTTGCATTACAGCAGTGGTTGGTGAGTGGTGAAGAGGAGCCATCATGCTTTCAGACCAATCATGGGCTTTTTCTTGTTTATTATAGAAACAATGTTTAAGGAAACAACATAGAAATCTGTTGTTTTTCTGAGCTTGATCTCTACCCATATACTGTAAAGGATCCTCACAAGGAAATGGCAATTTGTCAGTTAATTTTCCTTTGATTTCAAACGCTGTTAGTGGATCCTCATGAATCATTCCAAATCCTAGAGTGGAAATAGATGTACCTGTTGGCTTTAGCAGGTGTGGTAAACAGCGGGCTGCCATCTTAGTTCTACTGTGTTTACCCTTTTTCTTGTTAGAAAAATGTTGCAGGTGGATGACTTTTTTTCTCTTAGAGTTTTTCTTTTCCATTCTGAATGTGTTGGATTTAACATAAAATAAACTACTGATAACAGCACTGCCCATATTATTTGTCATGTTTACAGGAAATTCCCAGGAGGTTTGTTGCTTAGGCTGCAGAAACACCTAAAATGTGAGAAATGTCTGTTTAGCCTAACCAATCCATGTGTGTCACTGAAAAGGTTGATGTTTGGTTTTTCACGTACAGTTTGTACCCATTCATAATGCATCGCCTGTTTTGGGTTGGAGCGTTACTAGCTGGGACTTGTTTTACTCAAGTATTTGAGAACATTAGAAGAGCTGAAATTATCAGCATATATTTTCCATGTGATTGCCACAGAACCAAACCTAGAATGAGCAAAAGAAAAGTGGAATGGGCTCATCTTTTTGTCTTTACATGATGGAAAAATATCTTGTCAGGGATAATTGACAAACATAGAAGGTTGGTCTGATTATAATTTTCAAAAGGCACTTATTCTAAACTCACCTTTTGCATCCTTTTGTGCTCCCATGTGAGTCTCTGCTCCCTCTATGAACACTCCATCCATCCATTTTCATCCGCTTATCCAGAGTCGGGTTGCGGGGGCTGTAGCCTAAGGCGAGAGGCCCAGACTTCCCTCTCCCCAGCCACTTGAACAGCTCCTCCAGGGGAATCCCAAGGCGTTCCCTGGCCAGGTGAGAGACATAGTCCCTCCACCGTTTCCTGGGTCTACCTTTAGGCCTCCCAGTTGGACGTGCCCAGAAAACCTCACCAGGGAGGCATCCTGACCAGATGCCTGAGCCACCTCAACTGGCTCATCTCGATGTGGAGGAGCAGCGGGTCTACTCCGAGCCCCTCCCGGATGACCAAGCTTTTCACCCTGTCTCTAAGGGAGAGCCCAGCCACTCTTTGGAGAAAACTCATTTCGGCCGCTTGTATCCGCGATCTCGTTCTTTCGGTAACTACCCAAAGCTCATGACCATAGGTGAGGGTAGGAACGTAGATCGACCGGTAAATCGAAAGCTTCGTCTTCTGACTCAGCTCTCTCTTCACCATGACAGACCGGTACAATGCCCGCATCACTGCAGATGCAGCACCAATCCGCCTATCGATCTCATGCTCTGGTTTTCCCTCACTCGTGAACAAGACCCCGAGATACTTAAACTCCTCCACTTGGGGCAGGACCTCATCCCAGACCCGGAGAAGGCATTCTACCCTTTTCCGAATCAAGACCATGGTCTCAGATTTAGAGTAACTGATTCTCATCCCAGCTGCTTCACACTCGACTGCGAACCGCTCCAGCGAAAGCTGAAAATCACGTTCTGATGAAGCCAATAGGACCACATCATCTGCAAAAAGCAGAGACCTGATCCTCAGGCCACCAAAACGGATGCCCTCCACACCTTGGCTGCACCTAGAAATCCTGACCATAAAGGTTATGAACAGAATCGGTGATAAAGGGTAGCCTTGGCAGAGTCCAACTCTCACTGGGAACGAGCCCGAATTACTGCCGGCAATGCGGACCAAGCTCTTATACTGGACATACAGGGACCTAACAGCCCGTATCAGAGGGCCTGGTACCCCATCCTCCCGGAGTACCCCCTACAGGACCCTCCGAGGGACGCGGTCAAACGCCGTCTCCAAACCCACAAAACACATGTAGACTGGTTGGGCAAATTCCCACGCACCCTCCAGGACCCCCCTAATGGTATAGAGCTGGTCCAGTGTTCCACAGCCAGGGCGAAAACCACATTACTCCTCCTGAATCTGAGGTTCAGCAATCCGATGGACCCTCCTCTCCACAACCCCTGAATAGACCTTACCAGGAAGGAAGCTCAGGAGTGTGATCCCCCTGTAAATGGAACACACCCTGTGGTCCCCCTTTTTAAATAAGGGAACCACCATCCCGGTCTGCCAGTCTAGTGGGACTGCCCCCAATGTCCACGTGATATTGCAGAGCCGCATAAGCCTACACAGCCCCACAACATCCAGAGCCTTAAGGACCTCTGGGTGGATCTCATCCACCCCTGGAGCCTTGCCACAGAGAAGCTTTTTAACCACCTCAGTGACCTCGGCACCAGAAATTTGAGAGGCCAACTCAAAGTCCCCAGACTCTGCTTCCTCACTGGAAGACGTGTCGGTGGGATTGAGGAGGTCTTCGAAGTATTCTGCCCATCGATCCACAATGTCCTGAGTAGAGGTCAGCAGCACACCGTCCCCACTATAGATAGTGTTGGTAGCGCACTGCTTTCTCCCCCTGAGGCGCCGGATGGTGGATCGGAATCTCCTCGAAGCCGTAAGGAAGTCTTGCTCCATGGTCTCACCAAACTCCTCTCATGCCCGGGTTTTTGCCTCGGCGACCACCCGAGCCACGTTCCGCTTGGACTGCCGGTACCTGTCAGCTGCCTCTGGAGTCCCACAGGCCAAAAAGACCTGATAGGACTCTTTCTTCAGCTTGACAGCATCCCTAACCGCCAGTGTCCACCAGCGGGTTCGGGGGTTGCCACCACGACAGGCACCGACGATCCTGCAACCACAGCTGCGGTCGGCCGCCTCAACAATGGAGGCATGGAACAGGGTCCATTCAGACTCAATGTCCCCCGCCTCCCTTGGAACATTTTGGAAGTTCTGTCAGAGGTGGGAATTGAAGCTCCTTCTGACAAGAGACTCTGCCAGATGTTCCCAGCAGACCCTCGCAATACGTTTGGGCCTGTCTGGTCTGACCGGCATCCTCCCCCACCATCTGAGCCAACTCACCACCAGGTAGTGGTCAGTTGACAGCTCCGCCCCTCTCTTCACCCGAGTGTCCAAGACATGCGGCCTCATGTCAGATGAAACAACAACAAAGTTGATCATCGAGCTGCAGCCTAAGGTATCCTGGTGCCAAGAGCACATATGGACACCTTTATGTCTGAACATGATGTTCATTATGGACAATCCATGACTGGCACAGAAGTCCAATAACAAAACACCACCCAAATTCAGATCAGGGGGCCCGTTCCTCTCAACCACACCTCTCCAGGTCTCACTATCGTTGTCCACGTGAGTGTTAAAGTTCCCCAGCAGAACGAGGGAGTCACCGGAAGGAGCGCTCTCCAGCACCCCCTCCAAGGTCTCCAAAAATGGTGGGTAGTCTGAACTGTAGTTTGGTGCATATGCACAGACCACAGTCAGAACCCGTCCCTCCAAACGTACGTGGAGGGAGGCTACCCTCTCATTCACTGGGGTAAACCCCAACATACAGGCACCAATATGGGGGGCAACTAGTATGCCCACCCCTGCTTGGCGCCTCTCAGTGGGAGCAACTCCAGAGTGGTAGAAAGTCCAACCCCTCTCAAGAAAACTGGTTCCAGAGCCAGAGCCATGCGTTGAGGTGAGTCCGACTATATCTAGTCGGAACCTCTCAACCTCACACACCAACTCAGGCTCAATCCCACCAGAGAGGTGACATTTCATGTGCCAAGAGCCAGCTTCTGTAGCCGAGGATCAGACCGCCAAGGTCCCCACCCTCGACTACCACCCGTCACACACTGCACCTAACCCCTTTGGCCCCTCCCACGAGTGGTGAGCCCATGGGAAGGGGGACCAATGTTTCCTCTTCGGGCTGTGCCCGGCCGGGCTCCATGGGTGAAAGCCAGGCCACCAGGCGCTCGCCAACGTGCCCCACCTCCAGGCCTAGCTCCAGAGAGGGGCCCCGGTGACCCACGTCTGGATGAGGGAACACGGTTTCCATTTATATAGTTCATCATAAGAGGTTTTCGGGCTGCTTTTTGTCTGATCCCTCACCTAGGACCTGTTTGCCATGGGTGACCCTACCAGAGGCATAAAGCCTCAGACAACTTAGCTCCTAGGATCATTGATACACTCAAACCCCTCCACCACGGTAAGGTGGCAACACTCCAATTGAGAAAAAAAAATCCAACTGCTTTCTATCAGTGTTTGGTTTTATGAATTATCTGTCTAAAACAAGTGGTTTCGAAATGTCCCAGTTTGTGACATCACAAACAGGGGAATTAGAATAGAACCACCTCTCACATGCAAGAGAGAGCTGTTGCTGGAGGGGCAGCACTCTACTCCAAGCCTCTCCCAGATATTGGAGTGCCTCAGCTTATAGCAGTCAGAGCAGGGGAGGGGTGGGTTTGGCCGGCTCCAGTTTATTTTTATGTGACAGAGCCATGAAAAGCTCATGCAGGAAGGTACTGAAACTGTCAAGATTAATACTGCTGAAATTGCATTGCGTGACACCGGATTTTGTGCTTCGTAGACATGTTTTGTAAGGATCATTTAACTATTATAATATAACTTTAATATAACTTGAAGTTATCCCCCCCACCAGAGTCTTACTCCACCCAAGCTTCCTGTTTGAAACATGTGCCAAAAGGAGGCGTTGCCTGGCTAACCAAGAGGATGGAGCTGCCACAGCCCTGCACCCACTCACACCCGCTCTTGGATTCTTGTGGGCCATTCCCATCTGTACCGGGTCGGCCCGGGCCGGGTAGCGTAGGTTGTTTACATATCTGGGTGGCCTGGTATTTTTCCGGGCCAACCAAGGCTCATTCTCAGCCCTCTTCTCGAGGGGGTCTGCTTCAGGCCGACCAGGGCCAACACACCCACTGCTGACAGCAAATTCACACCTTCCATTAGAGCAAGCCTCTGATTGGTGGGTAGAATCAGCCCACATGGGCTTAAGACAAGAATGTGTGGAATCAACCGGGCCAGGCTGGGGCCGACTGGGGCCGACTGGGGCTACCCGGCCCGGGCCGACCCGGTACAGATGGGAATGGCCCATTAGTCAGAAAAACATGTCACTAACGCGCGCGCGCGCGCACGCAGGCACGCGCGCGCGCACACACACACACACACACACACACACACACAATCACCCCCAACTGAGAATAAAATTATAAATGTAGTTCAAACATACTGTTTTTAAGATAGTACATACTTCAATTACTTTTTGGTGCATTTATTGTGTGATGCGCGACAGCAAATCTAGTGTGAATCAAACAGCTACAACTCTGAAACCTCTAGAAGCTGAGGCAGGTGCAGCAGCAGCACCGTTTGGAGCCATTGTGAGTTAAATGTTTTCATGAAATGTTACCCTTGAAAGAAGAAACAATTTTTATATAGTGGCTCATTTTTCACAGTAAAAATGTGATAAAAATAATAATTTTGATTAAAATGCGAAAGAAAAATCAAAAAGGAAAACGGGGGCCTAAACCTAATGTAGTCCCCTGGCCCTTTAAACAAACTGCTCACTCATCTGCTAATACGTCCACGTTTCGCCACGTTTGCGCGCATGCGCACTGCTCTCCTGTTTGTGTTCCGGGGTCCGTCATCCAACACAGTGCTAGATTTCCTTACTACTGTATTATTTTTCACTTATTCTACATTTTCTACGCGGCTTACGTAAATAGCTGTCAGCTTGTGTTGAAGCACAGGACGTCTGTGAGTATGAACTTCTTCAGAGGAGTGATTACAGGGCAGGCTACCGGGCCGCAACCAACAGGAGCGGAGACGGTGAGCTAGCATCTCAGCTACTAAGCTAGCTAAGGTCTTGGTCGAATTGAAAAGAAAGCACTCGTAGTTGAATTTTTTTTTCTCACATTTTATTCATTCTAGAGCCACTACATGTGTTAAGAACATGAACGCATTTTCACTTGTGTAAGCCTGTAGCCGTGCAGCTGTCATGGTGATATGAGGGTGAGGCTGTGTAAACTTTACTTTATGAATGAACATTTAAAGAAAACAAGCTCAAAGGATGGAGTCATCGGCAGCAACTGTTTACTTCTCAGCCACAATCCTTGTTTGGTAATTTTCTTTATCAGTAACGACAAGTTGACGAACAGTAATTAAACGTAGTGGAGGTGTTATACACCCACTGCTGTACCAAACTGGTATTTGCCACTTCTGTCAAGCCCTTTAGAGTGGAAAATGTCAGGCTTACCCCCACGATCTTGTTCATTACAGCTGTGACCCGTTTTAAGTTGTTTTATGAAAATGCGCACATCGTTCACATCTAGGGACAGTCTTACTTTCACTTTCTCCAGGGTCTTTTATCCCACTTGGAATGATCAGCAGTATTGAAGTCAAACCCATTTATCTATCAGTTTAGGTGACCACTGCTGTGCTATCATTTACATTCTTGCTTTATGTCTGCTCTACAGCGATGTATTGATTTTTTGCTGCAATATTCTCCAGTTTAACCTAGAAGAATTTCATTATTCAGCTCTGCAGATAAACCTTTAGTTTTAGTATCAAAAGTCAGAACTTTGTCACACATGTGCTCTTATTATTACTATGAAAACCTTTTATTCTTTCTTTTCCTATGCTATTATTTAACTGCAACATATATTTAAATACAATAACACACATAGAGGAGGAGATAAGGATGCAAATTACATGAGCAGAATGTTTTTTTTTTTCCTATTGACAGATCCAGAAGTTGTGTGACCGAGTAGCCTCTTCAACACTCCTGGAGGACCGCAGAGATGCTGTTCGGGCTCTTAAATCTCTCTCTAAGGTAAAGTTTGAGGATAAATGTACAGAAATGCTAAGTAGGTTGTTTATTAAGTTCACCACCTGTAATCTGTGTGGAGAGTCATGTGCTGCTGCTACCATCGGTTTGAAACTTTTAAAGATTAGTTTAATTTCACAGCCAAATTACTATATAACTGTTATAATGCTACTTTACACATCTCTTCATATATATTGTTTGAACCTGTCTTCGGTATGTATGTTCCGGGTATTTGGAGTAACTTGGTGCAAGGGGACAATTTATCTCTGCACACATTAGATTTTGTTTTCGTTATTTAGTTATTTCACTAGCCTGTGCTTCAAAACACTCTTGCAAACAGCTATTGAACAGATTTTATATTACCAACCCCTTTTACAAAATGCTGACAGCCACTAGTGAACCAGTTAACAGTGGATGAACACATTCATGATTGGGATCCATGAATGCCAGTTGTTAAAAGCTCACTTTTGTTGTTTCTCAGCTCTGTTTTTACTTCATAATTTTAATGAATGGAGTTTAATTATCAAAAGAAAAATTGTTTAATGTTAGAAGAGCACGGACATCATTTTAGTGTAAAAAAAAAGGGAATACCAGAGATCCTGATGCCAGTGCTTTATTGGTTATCAGTAAGGGACTTATTTGTCAGGATTGCTGAGAAGGGTTTTTCATCCATCTGAGTGAATCTGAACACCAGAGACAAACTTATCTCAGTGTAAAAATGTCAGATTTTAAAAATGTCATGATTACCTGTAGATAAATGCCGTTTTAAAAAAATACATTTTGCTGATAAAGGTGAACTAATCCTTGACCACCACCACGCCTGTTTTCACGTGTTGAACGGTTTTGTTTTTGGCTGTCCTTTCAGCCATGACTAATGAGTTTATCACGCTTGAATAAGGGATTTGCAAAGCACCAAAGAGTTCATAAAGCATTTACCTTTGCTTAAATTCTTTAGCTTCTCTTGAGTTTTTGGACTCTAGTTGCCAAGTGTTACATTATTTATGAGAGCTGTTGTGTTTTTGTAGAAATACCGCATGGAAGTCGGCACACAGGCAATGGATCACCTGATAAACATCCTGCAAACTGACAGGTATATTAGTGTGCTGTTTAATTTTGTTCCAGTTATGCCAATAAACCTTTCTTTAGTTTTTTTTTAAACTTTCAAGATGTAATGATTGCTGTATTTGAATGTTTTAAGTCTTTAAGAGTTTCACAGGTTTCAAAAAAATCCTTTTAAAGGAGACAAATTATGACTTTTTAAAATTATGCAATAGTTATTTTATCGATACAAAACATGCTCGTGAAGTTCTTTGCACAAAAATTCTCACACAAAGTAATCCCAGCAGTTTTTATCTGGACTGTTTCAGTACCTTCCAGAATGAGCCGTTTCAGGGCTCTGTCACTTTAAGAAAACAAGCTGGAACGGCCACGCCCACCCACCCCTCACCCAGGCTACTAATGACCCTTTGCACCCACATCACCTGATCACGTGGGTCTACCATATTGGTTGGCAAATGCAGTGAGCGACACGAGTGCTAAACAAAGTGGAAAAATAGAGCTTGAAATAATTTTTGCGATCTTTAGCATTCCTTCAACTAGTTCAAGCTAGGGATGGGTACCTTTGACATTTGAATCGATCCAGTACTAATTCCCGGTACCTACGAATCGATACCGGTACTTAACGGTACCAATTTTCGATACTTTTGAGTGTTTATTATTTTAATTCTCTTTTATAATTAAATATATATTTTTCTCAATATATAACAATATTTGAAAAATATCACGATAAATAACATTCAACTGTTTGTATTTTAACATCGTCCTTGTAGTTTTATAAGCTGATAATTAAACTGAAGCAAACATCTTTACTGTGAACAGAATTTACTGTGTATCTTCATTCCTTTTGCCGTCTTTTTTCATTTGATTTTTCCTACTGGGAAGTTAGAATTTCCGAGGAGAAAGCGAACGCACCATTAGCTGATAACAGTGGTGGCAATGGAAGCTAACATACCAAGCTAACGTTATCTTAAACAGTTTATTTAGCTGCTGGAGCAGATTAAAACGATGATGCCTCACACTTAGATCGTTGTCACTGGTTTCGTCTTCACCCGTCACATTTAGTAAAGTGAAGCCAAACTTTAGAGCGCGTTCACGTTCTTCTAGTCGGAAATTTGGAGTTCCGAGGAGAAAGCGAACGCACCATTAGCGAAACGGAAGCTAACATATCAAGCTAATTATATTTACCTACCGGAGCAGATTAAGATGAGGATGTCTCACTTAAATCGTTGTCGCTGGTTTCATCATCACCCAGTTACCCATCACATTTAGTGAAGTGGACCCAAGCTTTAGCCTGCGTTCTTTCTACCATGCTGCTCTGTTTACAACTGGCTCGCAGCGAGCGACGACATAACGCTCCTGCACATGCACAGCTGTCTTGGCAAGTTCTCGTTATGATGGACGGGTACCGAAACGAGGCACCGTTTGAAATGACGTGAATCAGTGCTCGGTCGGTACTATGGAATTCGGTCGGTACCTTAAAAAGTACCGAATTCGGCACCCATCCCTAGTTCAAGCCCTTTCTTTCTTTCTTTCTTTCTTTCTTTCTTTCTTTCTTTCTTTCTTTCTTTCTTTCTTTCTTTCTTTCTTTCTTTCTTTCTTTCTTTCTTTCTTGTGACGTCACAAACGGGGATTTTTGGAAACGGCTTGTTTTAGGCATTGAATTACTAAAACCAAACACTGACAGGAAATGGATGGATTATTTTTACATTTGGAGTGTTTATAGAGGCAGTAGAGACCCACATGGCAGCATAAAAGGGTGCAAAATAATGTGTCCCCTTTTAATTATTCAGGTTTTTTTTTCTCCTCTAAATTCACCAGATCTGACTCGGAAATCCTTGGATATGCTTTGGACACACTCTACAACATCATCTGCAATGATGAGGAGGAAGAACAAGGTATATCTTAATACTAATTTAAAACTTTTTCTAGAAGATAAAAGCTAATTTGGGAGTTTCTCCTAAATCAGTCCCAGTGTTATGTAAATTAGACGAGTAAAAATCTAAACACAACCTACTTTTCATCCTCATATATAATTTTTTTATTGATCATCACTGCATCATGTAAAGACTCGTCTCTCTCTTCTCTTTCATGTTTTAATCCCTCAGATGAATCAGAAGGTAAAATTCTTTCTCTGTGCATGATGCCAAACCCTTTAACCACCAGCAAATCTCAGTTACACACGACCTTTTCAGAGAGTTTTTTTTAAAAGAGCGCTTTAATGTCCTTTTAGTCCCAATTCTAAAAAGTTGCTGAATTTTTGAGGCTGTGTTTTTATTTAGTGGCACGTCGCCAACCAGGATACATTTACAGTAAATGTCTAGGTGTCAGTGGGTCGTCACGTCAAACACGCAGTACTTGTTATGCTAAACATCAACTAACTTCACTAAATCCTACCACAAAGCTAAAGAAGGGCATTTAGGTTGCAGCACAAAAGCTTCACTAATATTACAACTCTTCCTATTCACGTGTCCTGGTTGGGTGGTGCTGCTTGTTCATATCTATCTTCTTTATTTTGATTTTGAAGCACTTACAAATCTTTTGGTCTTTGTTGTGGATTCCAGTGCCCACCTGAGATAAATGTCTGTTTGTTGGTTGTGCACAGTGGAATTCATCTGTAGGGACGACGGTGGCACAGGAGTTAAGTGCTCACCCCGTAATCGGAAGGTTGCAGGTTCGTGCCCTGCTCAGTCTGTCGCTGTCGTTGTGTCCTTGGGCAAGACACATAACCCACCTTGCCTGCTGGTGGTGGTCGGAGGGACTGGTGGCGCCAGTGCTCGGCAGCCTCGCCTCTGTCAGTGCGCCCCAGGGCAGCTGTGGCTACATTGTAGCTCATCCCCACCAGCGTGTGAATGTGTGTGTGAATGGGTGAATGACTGATTGTGTTGTAAAGCGCCTTGGGGGGTTCCAGGACTCTAGAAGGCGCTATATCAAATACAGGCCATTTACCATTTACCATTTATATTTTTTAGCTAAAGATGATGCGGTCTGGTGTCTACTGTTGCTGGAGACCATTTGATTCTCTTAGAGCGGTTAGAAATATAATAAAATTAGGGTCAGAAAACTTGAAATAGAGCTAAAATTGCTAAGGTGGTATCCAAACAGGAGGAAAGGCACAAGCATTGGTTGCAAACACAAATCAGAGCTGAAGTCTTGGCCAAAAAAATTTTTTTTAATGTTTTATTTTTTATTTTTTTAAATCTGATTCAGATTTAACATAAAATCTGCTTGGTTCCTTTCCTGTCACCACTGTGCACTTTTTACTTTTCCTGCTCACGTCTCTTTTGACGTCACAGTAGTTTTTGTGGTGGGTTCTCTTCAAATATAAAAATTTTGAGGAGTTATGGTTTGACCATCATTAGCTCTGACTTGAGCTAGCAGCTTTTAACACGTCGGTCCTTATTCCAGCTGTTCTTTTGCCCCTCTCACAGATGAGAATGCTCAGAAGCAGACTGATGACCTCGGAGCCCAATTTACAGAAAAGTTCATCCAGGACCCGGAGCACATAACGCTGCTCCTCACGCTGCTGGAGGTGCGTCTCCCTTCCTGTGGAAGAAAGTCAGGGCTGTCAGACTTAGCTGCTGCTTCTGTGTTTATACCTTCATGTCGATTTGTAGGAGTTTGACTTCCACGTCCGTTGGCCCGGGGTTAAATTACTGACCGCTCTCCTAAAGAACCAAGGCGTTCAGGTGCAGGGGATTGTCCTCGTCAGCCCCATGGGTGAGTTATTTATTAGAACTTTTTATATGGAACCTTACAATTTTTTAATTTGGAGAGTTGTACTTGCATATATGAATAAAAGAAAGACTTGGTTTCCTCTCACAGGTGTTTCCAGACTGATGGACCTGTTGGCAGACTCTAGAGAAGTCATTCGCAATGATGTAAGCACGTTTGTCCCCTTCTGACGTTTCCCAACAGTAAGATGCTTACTGACTCTTTGATTCATTATGATGCTGATTTCTGCTCCCAACAGGGCTTGTTGCTGCTGCAGCAGCTGACCAAAGGCAATGCAGCCATTCAGAAAATTGTGGCATTTGAGAACGCGTTTGAGCGTCTCCTGGAGATCATTTCAGACGAGGGTTGCAGTGATGGAGGTGTGAAAGGAGCTGTCGCATTACATCGTAATCCAGTTTTGTATTTTTAAATTTTGCTATTAAAAACGGCTCTCTGGTGTGCAGGTATTGTGGTGGAAGACTGTTTGCTGCTGCTTCTGAATCTGTTGAAGAACAACAGCTCTAACCAAAACTTCTTCAAGGAGGGCTCCTACATCCAGAAAATGAAGCCTTGGTTTGAGGTTGGTGACGATAACTCGGGCTGGTCCGCCCAAAAGGTCACAAACCTCCACCTCATGCTGCAGGTAACACACAACAGCCGTGTTTGGGTGGGGATTTAGTCCATATTCACGTTTTTTTAAATCTGTTCAATAAAATCATCCCAGCTAGTGCGAGTGATGGTGTCGCCTGTGAACTCACCTGGAGCCACCGCCAGCTGTCAGAAGAGCATGTACCAGTGTGGCTTGTTGCAGCAGCTTTGCACCATCCTCATGGCCACCGGCGTTCCTGCTGACATCCTCACTGAGGTGAGCCCAGCGACATCTCTAAACCAGTCATGTATTTTTATCTTGCTCCACACAAATCTGATCTGTTGTCTTTCAGACCATCAACACGGTTTCAGAGGTCATCAGGGGGTCACAGGTCAATCAGGACTACTTTGCTTCAGTCAACGCTCCTTCAAACCCACCAAGGTAACTTGTCTGATTTGGTGAATATCCCAATCAGAAAGGATTTCATGAACTCTGTGTGCGATCCGTCCACTTCCTGTCTCCTCAGACCGGCCATCGTGGTGCTGCTCATGTCCATGGTGAACGAGAGGCAGCCGTTCGTGCTCCGCTGTGCTGTCCTTTACTGCTTCCAGTGTTTCCTTTACCGAAATCAGAAAGGCCAGGGGGAGATCGTGTCAACCCTGCTGCCCTCCACCATCGATGGTGAGGACAGCGTCACATCCTGGAGCGTCCTGTCGTCAAGCTTTTGTCTAACGGCGTCCTTCTTCCTCGTCCAGCTAACTCCATCTCAGCAGGCCAGCTGCTGTGCGGAGGCCTGTTCTCGGTGGACTCTCTTTCTAACTGGTGTGCCGCCGTTGCTTTGGCTCATGCCCTGCAGGACAACCTCACCCAGAAGGAGCAGCTGCTGAGGGTCCAACTGGCCACCAGTCTGGGCAAGCCACCGGTCTCCTTGCTGCAGCAGTGCACCAACATCCTGTCTCAGGTAGGACGTGACGCTCGGCACTGACGGACATTGCCGAGCGGTGTGAGTGAGCGGTTTGTGTCAAAACACGACCGCTCTTAGTCAGATTGTCAAAGGTTTAATACTGATGCGGTTTTACAGGGTGATAAGATCGTCCGTAGGGTAAGTAAAGAGCATCTGTAGTGTGTGTGTGTGTGTGTGTGTGTGTGTGTGTGTTTGGGTGGCACTTGTCCTGGTTTATATTGGCTTGGCATTAGTAATAGGGGTCTCTGTGGCCCTTCTGTGGGTGGATCTTGCTTCTTAACATGTTAGTGTCCTGCTTTGACCTCTGACACACTTCTTGCTTATCAGTATTTGTTAGGAAGATGGAGAAACACTAAAATGTTCATTTAGGAGTTCAGAAGAGATGTTTGCTAATATCATAACAACTCCTGCTTTGGGCTTGAAACCTGAACGTTGCTTTTAGCCTCATCTATCTGTTCAGGAAGTGTGTGTTGCAGCTATTTCGGGGTTTTCTTTTTTCAGACAAGGGTCCTTCATCATCACTGTTTGTTCTTTTTCAGTAAAATGTATCCATGCACAAACAATCTTGTTGATGTTCGACCCAGAACCTTCTAGTCAGTCAGCTGTTGTTGACAAAAACATTCCACTGTTTGACCCTTGTGATTATTTCTTTCTTTTTGTTTTCCTCCTTTCCTCCATTTACGTCACATTTGGAGACAAAATCTGAAAAGGTGATTTGCTTTTGTACGTCGCTGTAGTAACACTGATAAGATTTATTAGTGTTTATTTTTCTCCTCATCCCCTCACCATCATGGCTCAGATCTCCGTATTCAGCTGATTTAATCTCGGATTGAATCTGCAGCTCGGACTCTCCTCCAGCCCTCGCGTCTTCTTTTTACAATCATTTTTTGTTCTTTTCATCTCCTGCAGCTGATTGGCACAAGCAGTTATGATGGCTGCTTAAAATGAGTTACAGCAAGACGAGTGGTGTATCTTTAACATTTAAAATTAAATTTTTACGTAATATTTCCTGTTTGTGTCATTGCCTGAAAAAGATTTGGTGGATTTTGTTTAGCATGTGCTGAAATCCAAAGGTATAAAAAGTTTAATTGGTTCTTAGAGTGATGGTTAAAATAAATAACAGTATGTTTGTGCTGTTGCCATGGAGCATTAGAAGACTGCATGCTCTTTTTAATCTCACTTTCATATGTATGTTTTTATTAACTAACTATAACCAATTAACTACTAAATACTGATGCCAATTAAAACATTAACTGATGACGTTAACATTATTTGTTTTTATAAACTGAAATTTTATTTTGTTTTTATTTCATCAGATTATTTAGAATTCCTATTTGGCCCAAATAACGATCATTTAGCGAAACTTTAGAAATGCATCAGCAGCTCAAGCTTCTAAAATTTGCTTCTTTGCTTGTTTATTTTTTTAAGTCTGCTGTTAAATTCCTTCTGATGAAGATGCATTCTGGTGCTTTTGTTTTATTTTTCTTATTTCACCCCCATGCACAGCCAGACTGAATTTTGCACATCTTGCATCCAGTTTTAAGGTCTTTCGAAAATAGCCTCTTTAATATTTAAAGACCAAGTTCAATGAGAAAGTGATTTTTACTTCTTATGTTTGAAATGTGATCATCCACTCTCAGTTTAACATGCAGGCCAAACGTGAAAATAATCTTCTACCCCTATTTCCTTCATTAGCTTCTGAAAAACGCTTGGATTAGAAAAGCCCAAAACAACTTCACAATGGGGAGCCTAAGTCTCCTCCCTTTCTGGTCGGCTCATGGATCCCCGGAAGAACGAAAAAATGAATGCAAGTCAACGGGGCTAAAAACGCTATTTTCTTATCCGCCTTCCCTTACGCCCTGGATCACACATATGCTGTACAGCAATTTAAATGAAAACTAACGATGGGTGTTTCGACCACGCCAGTCACGTACTTTGAGATTTATTAGCTTTTAAAAGTTCATAATTGGCATGACTACAAACTAGAAATCAGCATGTCGCATATGTGGCGTCACCACATCTCCTCTCCCCTAGCGTAGCTGCTACTTACCGAATGACCAGATTTATGCTGGTTCTTTCCTCCTGAGGGAAGTTTGCTGAACTTACAGCCCTTTTCCCTCAGTTTTCTCCGTGTCTGGTTCGATGACGTCACTTTCGTGAAGCGCATTTGTAGTCCTGGACTTATTTTCACACAAATCCTAAAATAACATTTCCCCTGTTCGAAAATGACGCATTCTTGGTATCAAAATGTGTCTTTAAAATTCACGGGCATCATGTGAAATCCATGGTACAAAACGAGCGGAATTAGAAAATAGTGTTTTTAGCCCCATTTTTTGTTCTTCTGGGGATCTATGGTCTGGAAGTAGATGGGTGTGACTGAGGCTCTGAAGATTCATGGACTCAGTCATCATGGCTCGTGATGGGCAAAGCTGTTGTTGGCTTAGCGTCCGAGAAACGGCGAAGAAGCAGTAGAAGCTAACTATTAGCATTAGCAACTCTACCACACTGCTGAACTGCTTCAGGCTTGTGTTATTTGTGGAGATGAAACCTCAGCGTAGCAGAGCAAAGAGTGCTAGTGGTAGAGTCATGTTGCTGTTATCCAATCAGAAGAGAGATGTCCAAATATCAGAAAATAATGGCCAGAATATACTTGCTTTTTAACCTTTGTTCACTTACTGCTGCACGGCACTGCATGTGGTACGGAGGATTCCACGAGGGGGCACTGTAGAGTAGTAAGACCGGGTAGTGAGCCGGGTTTGTGGGGCACAACCAAAACAACATGGCATCAACAGAAGAGATCAGAAACTGGGTAATTTTGAGTTCACGGCAGAAAAAGACAGCAGCGGTATCGTAGCTGGTTAGAAAGACCTCTAAACTAGAGACAGAGTTGCCATGGTGAGTGTGTCTCGCTTGTTTTGTCAACTCCCCCTACTGGCTACTCGTGTATTGCGGCTTTTAAACGAGTTGCATTAATTTTGGGGGACGCGGAAAAATGACCCTTCAAATCAACGCAAGCTACGCAAGGCAGCCATTTAAAACATGCTTATGTGTCGTTAAACACTAACTCCAAATTCTGCTGTGATGTGTTCCCCTCGGCTCGGGCTAACTTCTACTTCCTGAATCAGAAGTGCCAATTTTTTTTTTCCTTCACAGAGATCAACTCACAAGGCAAAAACTTATACTAGAGCCCACCCCAAACATGTTGGAAAAAACAAGTGAACTTGGTCTTTAAGATTTAATGTTTCATGTTTTTACCGGGTGTCTTCCTAAGCTTTTTGTTTGTGTTGTTTTCTTCCTGCAGGGTAGTAAAGTTCAGACCAGAGTGGGCCTTCTCATGCTGCTGTGCACTTGGATCAGCAACTGTCCCATTGCTGTCACACACTTTCTACACAATCAGGATAACGTTCCTTTTGTATCCTTCAGCATATTCACAGTTAGTTTTAAAATTGACTGATAAGACTTTGTCTCAGCTCTCACCTTCGGATAGCTTAAAGCTTTAACCTCAACCTTTTCATTTAAACTCATAACATTAAATCAAGTCTTCGGCTGCACTGACTCTGTGAGAGAATGATTGACTGAGGTTTGTTGAATGAATCTTTGACTGGGTGACTCCTGTAGCTGACAGCTCAGATTTCAGAGAACCTGGGGGAAGATGAGAGGCTGGTGCAGGGCCTGTGTGCACTGCTGCTTGGTATCTGCATCTATTATAATGACAACTCACTGGAAAACTACACCAAGTAAGTTATCTTGCATCGGTTTCACATAGAAACATGTTGATTTGGCCATTTTTAGGCATACACGAGAAGCCATCGTAGAGAGATTTGTTCACCATGGTAATGTCGTCATGTCCCTCCTCAGGGAGAAGCTAAAACAGCTGATCGAGAAGCGCATCGGAAAGGAGAACTTTGTGGAGAAGCTCGGCTTCATCACCAAACACGAACTGTATTCTCGGGCGGCTCTGAAGCCGCAGCCCATCTTCCCGTCTCCAGAGCAGATGCTGTTTGACCACGAGTTCACCAAGCTGGTCAAAGAGCTGGAAGGTCGGTGAGAAACGTGTCGTCCTGTCCGGAGACGGATCCGCTCATCCAGAGGGATTTTACAGGGTGCTCCTCTCTGCTCTACACAGGTGTGATAACAAAAGCAGTTCACAAGTCCAGTGAGGAGGATAAGAAGGAAGAAGAGGTGAAGAAGACATTAGAGCAACACGACAACATCGTAACTCAGTACAAAGAGTTGATCAGAGAGCAGGTGAGTGGACTTCAGTGCTTCAGTGTGATTAGGTTCAGAAACTCAGCACTGACAGTTTTTCTTCTCTTTTATGATAGGATGCTCAGATCCAGGAGCTGAAGGAGCAGGTAGCATCCATGACCACCCAGACTGACCAGATGCAGGCAACAATCAGCCAGCAGCTGTCTCAGATCCAGCAGCACAAAGACCAGTACAACATCCTCAAACTAAAACTAGGTGAGTTCACACAGCTGCCACTGCTCCTTCATGTCACCCGTGGTAGTGCAGCTGTGAGGTTTTAACTGAGCAGACACCTCTGTGGTTCTTCTCCTCAGGTAAGGACAGCCAGAGTCAGCCCAGCACTCAGGCAGATGGCTCTCAGGTGAACGGGCTGCAGACAGAAGAGCTGTCTCAGCTCAGGGAGGAGCTGGAGGAGCTCCGCAAGCAACACACACTTCTTCAGACACAAGTCGGTGACAAAGACGCCCTCATCGACAGCCTGGTTAGTGCAGGTTTCAGATCACCTGTGTGTTCATTCTAGAGATTCAGGAATAATGATAACATTTAGTGATGATGTGTGCAGTAATCTTGCATCTACAGATGTATAAAGAGGGCCTGACTGATGCTTTATTGTGTGAAAATAGAAGTCAGCAGCACAGACATCTGAGAGTTCAGGAGGAGGATCAGCCAACACAGAGCTGCTTCAGGTGAGGCTCCCTCTTCACAGGTCAAAGGAGATGCTAACATCTGGATTTTGGGCACAACAAAGACATCCTGAATTCCATCCAAATGTTCTGTGGCTAAATCAGGGGTCGGCAACCTGTTCCCATCAAAGAACCATTATTACCCGTTTCCCACAGTAAAGAAAACACTGGGAGCCACAGCAGCCGCGGCGTTGTGGGCGGGGCCTACCCTCAGACAGCAGAGAGCTGCTCACAACAGGTGACAGCAGCCAGTACCGGTTGCTCGTGTACGTCAAAGCTATCTTTCATAAGACGATAATCAATAAAACGATTTATATAAAATGGATCCAGAAGTTGTAGCCCGTTTATTTTGAAATTTTTCACCCTGTTGGTGGTTTTACTGAGCAGATGCCACTTTTGTCATATGCTTCTTTTTAAAACATGTTTAGACTGTTCAGAATACAAATCCAGGCTCTGTCACGTTTGATTGTTGTAATTAAACTTTGTAGGTGGGGAAGGTCAGAAAAGGATCCGATCAATTTGTTTTTCCCTCATTTACAGTGACGGAGATAACGGCGCAGTGCGCCTGGCTCTGGTGTTAATCAAGTTAAATTATATCTATTTGCAACAATTTTCACAAGAAAACAAAACAGTTAAAAGCAGGGCTTGTGTTGACCGGATAGTTCCCGTATTTGACCGTTTATTTTGACGGAGAAAGAATTACCCCGACGCATGCAGACGAACTAACACTTTATTCGTTTCACACATCGCAGATGTAGCTAAATCACCCAAGAAAAGATTCCCATCTGAACATCTGAGCTGGACACTGCTCAGCGCAGCTCGCTGTCAGCGCGTACGTATACGGCGCACAGCGAGCTGAAGATGTGGAGAGGAGCTTGGAGCGCGTCGCAGAACCAGAGCGCATGCAGGAAGATTCCTCCGACTGAAGCGAGACTTGTCACTTAGAAAATGTTCTCTGATTATGAAACTTTGGCTGAATAGTGCTTGTTCCTGTTTCCAATGTGGCGTCTGAGGAGAGTCCCAGAATCTCACATCCTCGTCAGCTCAGAAAGCGCCGATATGATTACGCACAAGTGTGACCCGTCAACCCGGTCTCACAGTAAGACCGGGTTGGAAATGTTCAGGTTTACGCAGACAATCTTTACATTTAGAATCGGCATACAGATGTAAAATTAATGCAGTAAAGTATAAAGCATTTTATTTAAATATCCATTCATTATTTTACAAGCACAGAGAGCCGCATCAGATGGATGGAAGAGCCGCATGCGGCTCCAGAGCCGCGGGTTGCCGACCCCTGGGCTAAACGAAACAAGATAATGACTGCTGTGACGTCATTAGAATGTCTTGCTTTATAACGTCAGCTTGTGGGAATTTGTTGCAGGAATTGGAAGCTTTAAAGAGTCAGGTTCAGTCCCAGTTGGCTGATATCAACCAGCTGAAGACTGAGAGACAGGAGCTGCTGAGACGAGCTGAAGCAGGGGTAACAATTCTAAAACATCCCTCTAATCTGACATAAAGAAACTTTTAATTAATAAGCTAAAACCTCCTTGGTGTCGCTCAGGCCGCTGACGCAGCGCCCTCTAGTGACGGCACATCAGACGCCATCAAAGAACTGGAGAGCCGGCTCTCAGCACAGATGTCTGAGACGGAAAGACTGAAGGTGTTTTAGATTGATCCGTTTTAAGTGAAGTGATCTGATTTCTGTTCATAAACATTGATCAGTAACCACCGTCACCAACTCCTCCCGCTTTAGGAGAGCCAGGCGGGGTTGGAGCAGCAGCTGGCTTCTGCCACGAGCACCGTGGCTATCCTGCAGACGGAGAAGTCGAAGCTGCAGAGTGAGCTCCAAGAATCCAAGAAGGAGCAGGATGACCTGCTGATGCTGCTGGCAGACCAGGACCAGAAAATCCACGGCCTGAAACAGAGACTCAAAGACCTGGGAGAGCCGGTACAGAAACAACCCACCCTTAGTGGCGAGGTTTTGTCTTCAGGGCTTCAGATTTAGTTTTTAAACTAAATGATATAAAAATGATCGAAGTCTAGCTTGAAGTATCTCTTGCCTCCGTCATCATGGGTTCTGTCATCCATCCTACATCATTGAGCGAGCATCCCCTGAATGGCTCTGGTTCAGTAATGATCTTCACATTTCATTCTGGTCACCATGGCAACAGCAGTCATGCAGAGTGTCATTTTTAGTTTCTGTTAGGTAAAAACTGCTCTTGTTGTGTTTCTGACCCCAGATCAGCTAACGGAGTCGGGCTCCGTCCCGACACCACTCAGCCTTGTTCTGTCTGTCTGCTCTAGTTAGACTATGACTCTTCCCTCGCAGGTGGAAGATGAAGATGACATCGACGCCAGGGAGCAGACATCCGACGAGGAGGACGAAGACGAGGACTAGAAACACTGAAAGGTGTGATGTGAATCTGCCTCCCAAGAGAGAAGAAGAGACTGTCGAAAGTCGCCTGAGAAACTGAGGAATAGGACTAATATATATATATATATATCACAGCAGGTTCTCCACCAAGCTGCCATGCTGTCTTCATAATTCTCATCACATTCTCATATTTAACATTCGGAAAGTTTTTGTTCATGTTTGTTTTTCAGTGATTTAAACTCGTTGGTGCGTTCATCTCCACAAAACCTCTGTGACCAGTTCTGCTTGTCTTCTGTTCTTTAGTTGTTTTTAATGCACAGTCTAATCTGGGAAATCTAAAGAGGAGGGATTTAAAACGTAGCGATAAAAGATGATTATTAATTTAGTGTTTTGTGAGCGTCTCTCCTGCGTTCTGCTCACAACTCTTCTCTGTGCTCCACCCTGGATTCATCCGCCTCCACGCCCAGTACAAGGTTAGTATTACGGAGCTCTTTCCTTTCACCTCGACGGCTCAACACGACTGCTCTGCAACATGCTGCAAAACACTGACGACATAAAAAAACATGCTAAGATGTATTTTTGCAACCCCTTTTGACCCAGTTCTGGCATTAAGCTTCTGTATGATATTCTGTAACTTATGAGTTTAAAGAAAAACCTTGAAATGAATAAAAAATCTATCTGTATGCCATATGGAGGAAAAAAATGTAGGTACATTTTAATAAATCCACAATAAAATGTTTTGGTCTTATCTGCTTTGGATTAAAATATGTAAATATTTATTATAAATATTTAATCAGACTTTTATTTGGAAATATTCTTAAAGAAATTTGGAGCAAATTTAAAATGACAAAAATAAAACTCCATTAGTAAGTAAATGTGTACAAGTAGTTCTACTAAAGCGTGTGAAGCTTCTTGTAACGGCTGCTCCTCACCACTAGGAGGCAACAAACACCTGAGTTTATGTTCTCAATAACATTAACGTTTAATTTGTAGCTGTTTGGTTTCTGCCACAGTTCATTCTACATGAGACTTTCCTCGTGTGGCTGGAGTTTCTTATGTAGAGTATTTTGTTCAGGGGGTTTCGTGCAGACCTGAGATGGAAAAAACGGCTAGAATAGAATAGACTTGATCCCACAGTGGGAAATTTCACTTGGTACTGCAGCACAAACTCTTCAGAAAAATTATAAAAGTGCGCGTGTATATTTATGTCGATGGTATAAACACATAGGCAGTCAAATATTATTGTAACCTTCAACCACTGAAAAACCAAAATGAAACTTAGGTTCCAGAACTACGCAGCATAACACAGACATACTATGTAAATCTGGAACTGACCTCGTACAGAGTATTGCATTGATGTTATTGTGCACCAGTATAATGCCAGTACCAGTTCAACTGAGGAGTTATACAGTCTTACTACAGAGGGGATGAATGATCTAAGGTAGCATTCTGTTTTAAATCTGGGATTTGCCAGTCTGCCTCTGAAGGAGCTGTCCATGGTCTCCACAGTGAGCAGCTCAGTAATACGCTAAACAAATCCTACAGGATGTATGCAAATAACAGCAAGATCTGCATGTTTCAGTCTCGTTTGGTGGTGCCAGGGCCAAACTGATGTCCAGGTGCAGCTTTAGGTGACGGCAGCAGATTGTGCTGATAAACTGGTTATTTGTGCTTCAATTTTCAGAAGCTGCCAAGTTTTAGAAAAGTCTGATTTAACTGTGAAAATAAAGGTGTCTTTTTGGTTCTTGCTGCCTCACCTCTGTGGATGAAAGCCACATACATCATAATTTGATTCCAGGAATATAAATTTGAGGTGGAAAAAAGTGTGATGTATCAAAAGGGTCAGTTTTCACCATAGAATTGACTGTAAACTTTCATGCACGTCAGAGCTGCAAAGTCAAGGTTACGCCAGCTGGAGGGTCCAGATGCACAGATCAACCTTTCGCTCACTTATTGTTCTTCAATGCAGTCGTAAACTGTTGAGGTCTCCCGCTAAAGCCTTATCTCTCTGCTAAAAGTCAGACAGCTGGATTCTTCACTTTGAATAAAAGTGAATCCACACGAATCCTATGAGGCTTTACAACTTATAAGTTAAATAATCATATGAATGAACAAGATATTTAAATGTTTGAAAAACCTGTGCTTAAATTGATGAATTTGAAATGAATATTGTTCTTACAATGATCCATTTATATCACAAATCACTGTTTGATTTAACAAGTTAATCGTTGTTTACACTCATACACATTACAATAAGATACAAGGTTAAAAACATTTTTGTATCTGAAGGAAGGCGTGGCTTTCTGAGGAATGTTTTGGTAAAGCCTTCCAGACATGACACATTCTGATTTGCCAGAATACGCCAGAAATCATAAAGTAGTTTAATAAAACAGGAAATACTTCCCGAGTAATTCAGTTTCTAGCGGAGTTCCGAACCGGCCAATTCGGAACAAGCATCCTTGAGACATCTCTTTTGACATACCGTCAGAACCTGTTTGCACGCTGCAAGCTGACAGCCAGATGGCTCCCTAAGAGCCAGTGGGGCAGCTGTAGCTCAGGTGGTAGAGCGGATTGCCTCATGATCGGAGGGTCATGGGTACGATTCCAGCTCCCGCCAGGGGTATCCTGCTGTTGTGTCCTTGGGCAAGACACTTCACCCAACTTGCCTGTGTTAGTGGTGGTCAGAGGGGCCGACGGCACCAAATGGCAGCCTCGCCTCTGTCAGACCTCCCCAGGGCGGCTCTGGCTACAAGTAGCTTACCATCACTAGCAGTGTGTGAATGTGAGTGTGTATGAAAGCGTCTTTGGGTGTCTAGAAAAGCGCTATATAAGTTCAATGCATTATTATTATTATTATTAAGAGCTACATCCACTTTAGACGTAGAGAGCATTCCAGCTACTGTTGTGACCTGGAGACATCTCGAGACTGGACGGTCGTATCGGAGTTTAATCTACGAAATCCCGGTGCTGTGAGGTCCACCCGACTTCTGACAGTCCGGATCTGCTGGGGGTCTCCGCCAGGGTTTGTAGACACAACAGATTGCGTCTGAAGCTGTTTTATTAATAATCAACTCTCTAGTTTATAGTGGACAACAAATTATTTTTCACCCAGATTTCACAATTTCAAATACAACGGTTCTGATAAACATCTAGGTTATATCACACCCCTACACGTCACATTTCATCACCACATATCCACTCCATCACATCTCATTATTCATATCTTGTCACGTATAATCATTAGTTTAGAAAAGAATAAAATTCCCTTTTAACTTGACTCTGTCTGAATTAATACGAAGTGTGTTTATGGTCCCTGAACGAGTAAAAGTAACTATAATCCTCTGATTAAACATTCAAAGATCAATCAGATTGATATTTCTTATTCATATGGAATCATCACATCTTATTGGTCATAATTAATTTGCAGTCGTCACGCTATAAAGTGTGACCGCCACAAAAGTGAGAAATTTAACAGAGTTATAATAAAGGCTTGAAACATCTCCCTTTTACGTCCATGTCATACATTAGTTTCATTGTATAGCTTGTATTACTGAAATAAATAAACTTTTGTACAATATTCTGATTAAGTTTCACCCATACATGATATCACCTAACAGTTAGTATGAGGCACACAACTGGTTTTTATACTGACTCAAGCCATAAACAGTGTGAATTTTGCAGAGGAACCTTCCCTAGAGTTTAATAAAGTTCTCTCTGAATCTGAAACCTAGCTATGGTGACTTATTCAGAATCTGAATCTTGTGACCACAGAATGAGAGAAGTGCTTCTGAAACCAGGGAACAAAACCTGCAGCGCAAAGAGAAGAAATATTAGACCACACAAGGTTCTATTGCTATATCTATATTATTATCTGCACTAGTTTTTTGCTCCAATTTATTTAAAAGCAAAACAAAAAAACTTTCATTTCTGTTTTCTTGGTTTGGACGTTAGATAAAAGAAGCTATAAAAAGCTCTGACTCCTTCAGCTGAGCACCCTGCTGCATCTTCACGTGTCTAAATCACCTTAGTTGATAAACTAGCTGCACTTGTGAATAGAAAGGCCTGCTAAAGGCAGCTGTTGGTGGTTTGGTGGCAATAAAACTCAAACAATTATGTGTTCAGTTTATTACATCTCAAACAGCTGTGTTCAATAATCTACCGAAGGTCACGTTATCAGGGTATTACTTTGGGAATCCTCTTGTATTATTTTATGTGTCGAACTGTTTAGGATTTTTGTGGATTCTGCTTCATAAATGGGAACAAAAAGTATTTTTTGTGACAGGCTGCTGGTAACAAATTGGTTCTGTGGGAATTCAGCCTTGATTCATCTTTTGAATTTGAAAATATTTTTCATATCTGAATGATTGACTGACAGGGCAGAGTTAAACGACTTAAATACCCAACCATTCCTGTGGAAATGGTGGGGAGGTGGGCTCAGGGGGATGAAAAAGCTACTGAAGAAATAAAAAAAAAGAATTGGAATTTCAGAATTTCTTCCAAAGAAACATTCCTTAGCATCCCTAACATATGAAAATTAAATGACCGGAAACAAAATTATGAAGAATTAGATTTTTTTTTCTGCAGAGGGAAACCTCCCAAGTTTACTGAGACTTCATCAGAAAATGACTGAATCTGAGTTTTTCATGCAGACTGAACATGAAAATAGTCTCCTACACCTATCTCCTGCTTTAGCTTCTGATAGAAAATAGACGGTGAAACTCTAGGATCTGAATATCCTGACAGATCTATGTCACTGTTACCTATAACATTCATATACTCACCCATCTAGACTTGTGACAGCAAGGCTGTTGTTGGTTTGGCGTCCAGGAAACCATAGAGAACATCACAGCTAGTAGAAGCTAACTGTTAGCATTAGCAACTTCATCACACAGCAAAACTCCTTCAAACTTGTGTTATGTATGGAGATATTACATCAACGTTGCAAAGCAAACTAAGTTAGTGCAGAGTTGTGTTGCGGAGACCCGGCAAGATGGCGACCAGGGCACACGCAACTTTCTAAGCTCTGCTCACTTCGTCCCAAACTTTACCTAAAAGGTCCTCTTTAGGCAACAAGAACAAGACGATTACTCTCATATTGAAACTCTCTCTAAACAAACGGAGAAGAATAGACAAAATAATGTCTAAAGAGAAAGACTTTCCGCCGCTCAGACCAATGACCGGTAAGGCCACAAACCCGCTAGCCTTCCATAGCTACTCCATGAACGCAGACCCCATGGCTAAACCGGGAATGACCAGCACTGGCAATACCAAAAGAAATTGCCACTCCGATGGATACGTCAACCCAAAGCAAGGCAAACAGTAGCACTGCAGGTGTTAGAAGACCGCTAACTACTACCCCTACAAAACAACCAACACCTGCTAAAAAAAAAAAAAAAATGGCACCCAAAGTTGAACCTGAGCTCTCCTTAGCTGCTATTTTAGCAGCGATTCACAGCTTGGAGATAAAAGTGGATGGATTTGGAAAGCAACGCAAAGAGAACTCTAACCTATTCACTGGAGTTTTCCAACGGGTCGATCAAAACACGGTGGAAATTGAGGAATGTAAGTCTAAAATTTAAGTTCTGGAGAAAGAACAAGAGCTAAAAAGGGAAAATGCTATCATGAAGGAGAAACTGCTGGAAGCTGAGCGCTATAAACGTCGCTGGAACCTGCGACTTTCGGGGCTCAAAGAGCAAGAAGGAGAAAACATCAGAGAGATGATAGAAGAACTCCTGGTAAAAATCTTTCCTGGCTGGGCTGATAATATTGGCAACGTGACTGACTCGGTAGCAAAAAAAAAAAAAAAAAAAAGGGAGATGCAGACAGATCATCATGCAATTCGTGAGGAGGCTCCACTGGGAGACTGTCTGGAAGACAACAAAAAAATTCACAGATCTGCCAAGAGAGAGGAATTCGCTTCGCCCAGAGCTTCACCAAGGAAGACCGGCTGGCCAGAGAACAACTTTGGCCAAAAGTAAAAATAACCTGAGAATCTTTGAAGACCTCTAGGTTAATTACACTAATGTATGAATGTGGATGTTCTCTGTGCCCTGTAATCTAATGTTTAGATATTGAATGCACAAATGAGTATGCCTTAAAGTCTCTAATATTGAAAAATGTTCAATTAAAAAAAAAACCCATTCCCAAACAGGCGCACTGGAGCTTTTTTTCCCCAGAGAAGACTTAAGGCAGTGAACCTCAACTGGCAGCCCACAGGCCACATCTGGCTCGCCAGACCCCCTAATGGCCCCCAGTTGGGAACTTTATAGATGTTTAGCAACAGCAACATTCATGTCCCAAATATTAATCATTTTTTACGTTCTGCAAACACAAGTAAAAATATAATCCAAACAGCTTAGATAGAGAATAAAGCCATTTTTAACATGAATAAATTAAGATACAATAAAAAAAACTCTGTCCCTTGAACAAATTTAGTTGAGGACCCCTTAAAGCATTCATTCCTACCAGAGACTACTGCAAATGTATTAAAAATATGAGTAAAGTTTAACTTTGATGTAACTCTTCTAAGAGAGTTTGCACAAATAAAACACTTTCCTCTAAAATATCTTTGCTTTTGTCAAATTGACACGAAACTGATTATGAAAAACGATAATTTTGCTTATTTCTAAACTTTTGCTAAAATTGTCGATATAGAATTATACATGTGCAGCTTCCTGTTTGTTTAGAGCTAATTTCAGTCCCAGAATGATCTAAAATCACTTGAGGTTGTACAAAAATGTGTCTGATCCGTTTTATTGTCGTAAGGATCTTTTATCATTTAAATCGTAACAAACCAAGAAAACTGGTCTGCAATTTTAATAATTGCACTTTTAAGACATAAAGGCGCCTCTTAATGCTTTATTTATTTAAAACATTGTTTGATTTGTTGGATTATTTCTGCACATTTGAACAAGAAAACTTTAAGTGTAATGTATAAAACTAGATTATTTTTGGTGCAATACCTGAAAATAAAACTTTCAGGAGTTTGTTCTACTTCAGGTTATTTTTATCCCTGCTCTAAATACCCCTGTGTTCAGAAGGTAATGAGCCGCAAAAGTAGAATCTGTGAATATCTTGCTAACTTTACTGAAGTCCCTTTTTATCCATGCACCTGATGGCCCCTCCCTCCTCCTCCTCCCCTCGTCGCATCTGGTCGCATCACTCCTCCGCTCTCCCTCCTCTTCCTGCGGACTGTACGGGTCAGAGAAGCGGCCTGTTGTTAGCTGTATTCGGACACTTGTGGGTCTGTGAGCTCGGACACTTCCGCAGACAGCAGCCGCCATGCAACAGCATCTGTCTCTGGTGATATAACAACTGATCCCAGCTCAGCCGAGTCCTCCACACACCCGGATCCACCTCCAGCAGCAGCAGCTCCGCCGCTTTAGTCCTCCTTTTCCCGGATCAACCTCCAGCTGCCGCCGCTCGTTGCGCCACATGACCGTCTCAAAGGTGAGTCACCTCCATCTGCGCTGTCTGAGGTGTGGGACTGTGCTGTCAGGACTCTTGAGGAGAGTTTTCATGTGGGAGGGTTCCGCCCGCGTGCTTCTGCAGCCCTGCCATGCCCAAGGTTGAATAGAGGAGGGGAGGTCCAATTTCCAGACTTGTTCATGACCTGGGGTTGATCACTCTCCTCTCTGATGGGATATTTTGCAGGGAAAAGTGTGGATTTAGTAAAGATGTGTGTTTAATTCACTAGCATGGACAGTGACACCCAGTCCTGTGTTTCACCTGATCCAAAAGGCTTCTTCAGTAAAAGTGGGGCAGTGACTGAGTGAGTGCACATGAATCAGTCATGAGTGCAACTCAAGCACATCCTGTAAATATGTCAGATTTAGGCACACAGGCTCCTTTTCACCTGGACTTCCTGGTAGGTTGATGCTGCAAAATGAAAATGACGAATTAGAAGAGATGAGATTCTGTCAAAAATCATAGGATTAAAACAATTACTGGAAATTAGTGACAGACAAGCCAGCATCTAGTGGTTGGGGATTAGATGGAAACACAAAATTACAAGAAAATATGCAAATTTTCTGTTGGACTCATGCCGAAGGGGAACATGTGACACGTTTTGTATAAGTTCGGTCACATAGTGTGTATGATCTAATTGCAAATGAATTGGCAGAGGAGGTAAGTGCCCATCCTGTAACTGTAGTGTTGCAGGTTCAAGGCCCATCTGTCGTAGTCATGTCCTTGGGCAAGACACTTCACCCTCCTTGCCTGCTGGTGGTAGTCAGAGGGACTGGTGGCACCTGTGTATGGCAGCTTCACTTCTGTCCGTGCTCCAGGGCAGCTGTGGCTATGCTGTAGCGCATCACCACAATCGTGTGAATGACCGGTTAGTTTTAAAGCACCTTGGGGGGTTGTAGAACCCTTTATGGTGCTGTATAAATACAGGTTATTTACCATTTGTCCAACTGTTGTGCAAAAATTGTTGCAGCTCTGAAGAGTTCTCCTAATTATGTGTCTTTTTTTTGCAAATTGGTCACCAGCTCTTCCAAAGTAATTTCTCATTGAGAAGGACTCCAGATGCCTGGGACAATTATTTTACTGTTTTCAGAGAAATTCTTTATTGCAATTTTCTTTTTGCAAATACTGACTACAGAGTGTTTGCAGGCTTCTGGTAGCATTTTCAATTTAGCCTCTTTGTGTCAGAAAGTGCAAAAACATGAGACAACTTGGGGAGGTGTTGGCAGTCAAATTGTGAATGAAATGAGGATATAATGTGAGCAAATTGACCGACCCTTACCATCGGCTGGCACTCTACTGGCAACAACTGAACATTCTCTGTCACCTGATAGTAACAGTTTACTGTCTTTAACACATAAAGTACTACTACTAGGTTAGCCGTTTATTTTTTGTGTAGCTGCTCTGTCCTCTCCAACCCTAGTGAGTCGCGACAGACGGCTGCTCATACTGACCCAGGTTTTTAAGGTTTCTTCCTGTTCAAATAACATAGAGATGCTTCGTGCTCCACTGCCCTACTGGTTAAAAGTGGAATAACAACTCTCATAAATAAATCTGCTATAGCTAAAGCTAACTATGAGCTAACATTAACATGAGCTAAGTAAAATGACCCACACTATTGGACAAAATATATTATTACTTACAAGTCCAAGGCTGCACGGTGACGCATTGGTCAGCGCTGTTGCCTTGCAGCACAAAGGTTGCAGGTTCGAAACTCTGCTGCGGCCTTTCTGAGTGGAGTTGCGTGTTCTCCCCATGCATGCGTGGGTTTCCTCTGGGTACTCCGGTTTCCCCCACAGATCACAACATGCCCTATAGGTTATAAATTGTAAGTCGCTTTGGATAAAAGCGTCTGCTAAGTGAATAAACATAAACATAAGTCCAGAAGCAACAAAGCCAGGTCACCATCTGTCTGTGATTTTGTAGCCTCCTTTAGCTTCCTCAAATTAGTGTGGGCTGTGCCGATGTTTACTCCAGTTTTAGCTCTTTGCTTCGCCCCCAAAGACATTCTTCTCTTACTTTTATTTCTAGGCTCCACCATGATGCCAACAGAAAAAGCAGACTTGTTCTTTTTGTGCTTTTTATTGACATTCGGTGAACTAAAAATGCTAACCACTAGCATTACAGCTAACAGCCCTAAAGCAGGTAAAGACAGCTCCCGAAGACACCTACCCTCTCCACAAAACTACCTAGTGCTGGTTTTGGTCAGCAGAGGGCTGCAGTGTGGTGTCAAATATCAAACTGGTCAGCTTTGTAACCCAACAATCACTGAGATCAATGATAAACCTCTAGCTCAAAGTTAGTTTTACTTGAAATGGGAGTTTTCCTCTCCACTGCCGCTACATGCGTACTTAGTATGGGGATTGCTGTAAAGTCGATGCAATCTGCTGGGTTTTCTTACGCAGGAAACTTTTAAATAATGAACTGAACACAGTGCATTGATAAGTAAATTCAATTGGAATGTTTACTTTGTAAAGTGCCTTGAGATGACTCTTGTTGTGAATTGGTGCCATATAGGGCCGCACGATATTAGGGAAACCTGCGATATGCGGTAACAGTGATTAATATTGAGATGACGATATTATTTCCGATATATAAAAACTTCACTGGAACAAAAATAATCAAAAACAAAAATATAAAAAAAGACAAATTAATCATAAAAAAGGAGAAAAGCAAAGGATGTGAAGAAAGGGAAAAAGAAAATGAACAAGAAAAGGCAATCAGTGGATCCCGGGAAAAGCTGAAACAGCAGAAAGAGCAGAACAAAGCTAACTCAGGTGTTTGTTTACCATCAAAATTAAGTGCCGTACACCACGGGGGTGGGCATCTCACCTATGAGAACCCACCCAATTGGCCAAATGGGTGAAGAGCTCTATTTGATTTGTTAAAAAACACCATGCCTCTATTTGATTGACAGACTACATTATGTGTAGCAAACATTTGAGCTGACCATTCATTACGATATTTATCTGTTCTTTGTGATATGCATATTACGTATGCTGATATTGCGATATAGATAAATTTGCAATATATTGTGCAGCCCTAGTGCTATATAAACCAAACTGAACCCAACTGACTTAATTAGATTGGTTTGTAATATATTATAGATGTGTTCAAGTTATTCCATTTCAGTATTCATAATAATCAAGAAATTCAGCTTTGTGGTCCTTAAATCCTCCTTTGTGTGCTTGATGTTGTTGACCCAGGTGTCATCCATGTCTGAACCAGTGGCCCCTTATTGGTCCCTTTCAGGAGTTCTGGGTTCTTCTTCATAAAGAGATCGGACAAAGTGCATCTTGTAGGTTTAAATCATTCTTGAATGCTGATTGTAAATTCATATCTTTACATTAGATGAGCCATTATGGTTTAAAATCAGTTTAAACGTTAGGAACTTGTTCTAGTGTTTGTTTACTCACTAGACAAATTGGAAACCAGCATCACTTTTTGTGATAGTATTCACCTGATATCATGCAAAAACTACTTGATATTCATACATTTGTGCTTCTTATGCAGCAAACAAGCTGCTAATGTGATCATGAAAAAAATCTGGCCTTGTTCCCGGAGTTAATGCTGTCCTCATGTGTGCAAACACACCATCACTCATGTACTCTCTTCGAGGCTGTACTCTGCCGGGCCACCGAAGCTCCACATGGTTCTTGTCCATTGTTTCACTCACTCTCATGTGAATGTAAACAAACGTTAAGACAAAAGACAAAGCAGTTAGAAAACTTGGTGTTTAGTGACCCATGTCTAATGCTGATCATGTTTTAGAATTTGGGTCCGATTTCCCTTGAGTGTACCAGAGTACATTGGCTCGTGCTGGGTCAGGGTTAGGACGGGACCTTGTGTTCAATAATGTTTTGATTATGAGGCTTATGAACCTTAGAACTTCTGCTTACTAAATGAAGTTGAACAAAGTGAACAGACATAAGTGGTTGTTGAATTGCGCTGCTGTGCCCCTAAGATAGTGACAGGGTCTAAAATTAAAATCCAGGAAGGTCTGTGAACATTGTTCTGCAGCTTCATATTCTCTCATTTTATCCTTAAGGATTTCAGTTAAAGGGAACATATTACGCATAATTCACATGTTGCATACTTTTGTGCTGTCTTATGGATTTCTACTAAACTACTAAAAACTATTGAACATATAAAAAAACTTGTCCATCTTTTTTCCGCCAGTGTTTGGTTTTAGGAATAATTTGCCTTAAACAAGCAGTTTCAGAAAGTCCCTGTTTGTGACATCACAAATGTGGAAAATAGAATAGAACCACCTCTCATGTGCAGGAGAGAGCTAATGATGGAGGAGACGTAGTACTAATCTGAGCCCCACCCAGATATCGGAGCTTCTCAGCTTATAGCAGCCTGAGCGTTGGATGGGTGGGCGTGGCCTGGTCCAGCTTGTTTTCTTAAAGTGACAGAGCCCTGAAACAGGTCATTCTGGAAGGTAATGACATTTTTAAGAATAAAACTGCGGAAATGGCTTTATGTGGGAGGGATTCAATGCAAAGAACTTCATGTTTTTGAATTCCTGTGGAACTATTAAAGTACTGATGTCCACTTTTAAGCTACCAACAAACTACAGAATTTATTTGGCTCCAGGGATGCTTTGCCTTAAACTCACAGGTTTCCAACCAGTTTCATATCACAGACCAGCTTTGTCCTAGACGGTTAATGGTGGGGGTGTGGTGAAGTCACTTGCATAACGCAAACATGTTATGCATAAAATGTTATTATTTCATATGCACAAAAGTCTAAACTATAATTTATTGCACTCGTCGTTGAACATGTGGAAAAAATCTCTAATAAGCAACATGTAGATATGGTAAATGGCTTGTATTTGATATAGCGCCTTCTAGAGTGCTGGAACCCCCCAAGGCGCTTAACAACACAACCAGTCATTCACACATTCACACACACATTCACGCACTGGTGGGGATGAGCTACGATGTAGCCACAGCTGCCCTGGGGCGCACTGACAGAGGCGA